CAACCAGTAATTTACGTGTCCTTGTATAAAGGCGTCGCTTACGTGCGTGCGTGTGTGTGTGTGTGTGTGTGTGTGTGTGGTCGAGCGAACGAAGGTTTTCCAAGTTAAAGATCAAGACCTATTTAACCGAGGGAGGGAACTAGTCCAACTCCCATCCAAATATCACTTGACACCTCGCATGAGCCTCCAAGACTCTTAAGAAAGTCTAAGGTTCTCATGAACAAACATGTATGGAGCATTTTGGGTGAATCTTTTGACAAAAAAAGGCCGGATGGTTTTACCCTAGCAACATCATTTTTCCATCCAAGGCTCAACAGTCAATAGACAGATTGAGACAACCGGTTGACAGACTCAAGCTGAACAAGTAAAGTTCAAACAATTTAAGGACCGCCAGAGCCAACCGATTGATCCAACACAACAGAGTCAGTCAAATGTACCTCGTTGACACGAGTATTACAGGTCATCGCCGACCGAACGATAAAGTAGTTGAACCATACACTCATTTATTTTTTATATGGCTAAAATATCCTTTAAATTCCCCCATAAAAGTAGTGACAACCATGCAATTTTTTTACTTTTATACCACATTGCCTATAAATAGGGGATCATTTCTACAAAGGAGTTATTTTAGCTCTCCCTCCCCCATGCATAAAAAATATTTGATTATATAAAAAGGATCGCAAGAGTCTGAGAATACTCCAGTTTGCTCCATAGGGGCAAGTCGCGACGCACTTCTTCCTATCCCTTCTCTGTCTCCCTCATGTTTCATGTTTTATTCCTTGAATGTGATTCATAGGACAAATTTGGATTCAACGTCCTGACAATGTGTGGTGAGAGTGAATTATGTCACTAACAAGAAGAGAAGCACAAAAAAAAAGAAGCCCATCACATATGCACTCTTAGCATGAAGTACGTCAAGGAATTTATGCAACAACAGATCCAGTAGCAGAAAAACTACATTTCTATCATCTTTCGACAGGCTTTAGCTCGAAAAAGAGAACCACACCGCTGAAACAGATAGCTAGCTCCCCACCATTGGAGAACTCCCTTAGGAAAAGCCAACCAATGGTGTCTCTACAATGCTCGAAGGACCCCAAATGATATCCATCAATCTAGGCACATACCTCGTACGCGAAGAATACAACTACCTCCAAATATTTATGGGCTAACTAAGGCATGGCTCCAAAAGCCTGCCATAGCCAGAATTCAGGATCCACCTTGTATCGGCTCATATCGTGAGCAATGATACGCCTTGATCGTCTGGGGAAAGCTGGTGGCAAACAATATAAACGCTAACCCTATGGTCCAATTTATATGGCTCACTGGGCACGAAATCCAAAGGGAAGTTAATTATCAAATTAGTTTTATCAATTTTGGTGCCACTGATTATTTAATAGTTTCCCTATTCTTATCTTTGTTGACACTATTAAAGAGCAGACTAACTCGGGGGAACTAATAGTTATGCACCAAAACCGCCAGGATAAGGGTCGGGCTATCGAAGTGTCAGACTAAAGAAGTATGATCTGAATCAGTCGTGCGACGAACCTTCCTGCTTCACCTCGAAAGGAGTAATCACCACGCGATCGCTCGATCAAGTCGATAGACTCATAATGTTGGTGGAACCAATCGATGGACCGTGCTTACCATCTCAGCTATCAAAGTTTCTTTCAAGGATGTTCAACACAAATAGTTGACTGACTGGCTTTACATCAGTAGAAGCAATCGCTATGCGACCGATCTCCCTAGTCGACCGAACTCAAATACGTCAATCCACTAACAATCATTTTATCACACTTAAATGACAACACGAATCCAATATTAATTATCACATTAATTGCATCAAAGGCAGTTTTCATAACTGTTCCATCCTTTCTATAATTGTGCAAGTAGACCTTTATAAATAGGAGACCGAAAGATGAATAAAGGGACATTTTCCCTCAACTCTTCTTAGAATTCTTCATCTGCTCTACTTTGTCTTACTCTCTTTTTCTCAGGCTCCAACTCTCAAGGCGTGTTTTATCTGAAGGACAATTTAGGATTGAATTTTCATAATTATGAAAATTACACCAAAAAACGACTTAATATTTAAGAGTTTAGCTTCATTCTATTTAAAAAGTTTCACGATCAATATACAAACACCTTGTCCTAAGAATTAAAGCATACATAAAGTTCTTGTGGTCCATCTTTGGCGGAAAAACAGACAGAGAGGCAATAGAAGGCAGTTGCCGAACGCGCGCGCGCACGTCCATTCGTTCCAAACCCGCAATTCTCAACGGCTAGTTAGGCGCACCACCTTTCCGCTATCTCCTCAAAAAGCACCCGCACAAATCGCGTATTTATGAATATTTCCCACTGCAGTAATGATTTTGCACGATGCAAGAAGTTCAGGGGTATAAATGAAAATTACCAGAATCAAATTTGCCTCGCGCGGCACTCCCCTCTCGACTGGCTCGCACGTCCTTCGTCCGGCGCTAGGTTTGGTTCCGCCGAACTTCTTCTCCCAAATTCAATATCGCTCACCGTACTGATCCAAGGTTTGATCGGGCACTCTCTTTGGCTTCATAGATTCTTCCACTCTGCCTAACTCTGAAGAATCTGAAGTAATTTAGGTGTTATTTTTGTGCTATTTCTTTGCCCACCGAAGCCCTAACCCTAGTTTAGCTCTACAAGCCATGCTTGATCTCAATCTCACTTTGTTCTAAGAAGAAGTTATTTTTCTGGTTTCTCTTCACTTGGATCTCATCGCGGCCTTATCTATGGATGCAGATGGAGCGAACAAGAAGCTGCGGAAGCCCTATACGATTACTAAGTCTAGGGATAGGTGGTCGGATGAGGAGCATGAGCGGTTTCTCGATGCACTACTTTTGTAATCTAGCAACTCTCCTTTTCAATTGACTTGATCGCTGTGGTTTTATCTCTAGTACTTTGTTAGAAATCTCCAGTTCTGGTGCTCATGGAGCATTTTGTTTTTGGCTGTTTTTTATTTAGTTCTTGCTGATTTCTGTACTGTGAAAATTTAGGGGTTTTTTTTTTATTTTGTTATTAAGCTAAATTCCGTCATGAGAAGCATGCTAAGGGGCCACTTTTGATTTTTGCTTTTTTTTAAAAATATTATTTTAATATTGTTTTGTTTATGTTTTGGTTTAAAGCAAAAATGTCTGGTATGATATAACATGTTTAGTTGTTTTTAATAATATTCAAAATAGTTTTTAGATGTTTTGAGTGCTTTTAAAAAATAAAAATAAAATAAAAAAAAAACATGCAAGAAATGCTTCAAACAAATATGTATTTTGAATAAAAGCAAAAAAAATGAAACTAAAAAATAAAAAAAACAAAAGTGAGCCCAAACAAACCCCAAAAGAAATAAATTTGGATTATCTATGCAGTTGATAAGGACTTGGTTGGTGTTCCTGAAGATTATCGAGCAACTGGACAATCTAAATGCTTAGAAACCTTGTTCGTGAAAAGTCTATTAAGTAAGATGCGATTGGTAGAAATGAGGAAACTTAATGTTTCATTTTATAAATTCCTTTTTGTGAATATTAAGTTGTTGCAAGGACTGTTAAGAGCATATTTTGTAATGATGTGTCACAAAAACTTCACCAAAATAGAGTAATGATGTATCAAAAAATAAATGTCAAAAGGGAAAGGAAACAAATAACACATAGAACATGAAGATCTATGTTGTTTAACTTTAGCCAAAAGTATGTCCATAAGAGATAAGAAAAGACCATAATATTTCACCGCAGTTCAAACTTGTACGCTTTGCAATTTCTGTAAATGAAGAGGGTTTTCGGGGGAAGGGTTAAAGAACTTCTATGATCAAAATGTAGTGTAATTGTTCATCAAGTTTTCAACTCTATTTGTAAAAAAAAGTGTGTGAATTTTACTTCTTGTTGACTTCATCTTTGTTTTTCTTTGTGGTATTGAACTTAATGTATAGTGCCTATAAGCTTTTGTTATTGTGATAATATATGAGAATTTTTCTTAGCATCATCAACTCATTATTAGCTTGTCAAAAAACATATGATTTGAAGTTCAAAATTTATGCTTTCAACATTCTACTACTCTGAATAGTTTGCCAAAATCAGGGCATCCAAGAAAATGACCTGATTTTTCATAGAATCTGGCTGGCTGAAGCCAATTTTAAGGGGCCGTTTGGGATCATTTTTGTTTTTTTGTTTTCTATTTTTTATTTTTATTTTGCTTTGCTAATATTTTGATTTAAAAAAACAAACATCTTAGGTGTGTTTTATTAAGATACAATTGTTTTTTAAAACACTCGAAAATACTTAAAAGTTTTTTGAGAGTTTTCAAAAGCATGTTTATTTATTTTTAGAAATAAAAATTAAAAACATATAAAAATCACACTGAACAAAAATATTTTAAAAAACAAAACAAAAAACAAAAACAAAAAATAAAATTGATCCCATACAAACCCAAATAAATTACTTTTAGGTAAGCATAGAATAGTTTGACTTGTTTTGGATTCTTCTTTAAATAATCCTTAAGAAATATTTCGTTGGTTAATTTAGGTTTGGTCGAGAATGGAAGAAAATTGAAGATTTTGTTGGTACAAAGACGGTGATACAGGTAACCCTTTAACAACAATGTTTTCAGTTCTTATAAATTGTATTCCTTAATCAATTTTTTTGTTTATATGCTTTTATAGATCTCTTATATAGGTACAAAGTCATGGTGTACTAATATTTTGGCTCATGAGTTCAATAGATTGCATTTTTACATGATTTTTCGCAGGATTTTTAAATAAGACAAGAATAATTCCCACTTTTATCCTTGATAAGTGTCAATTTCTCAGGATAATTCAATATGAGCTTGCTAATAATCAATAAGTTTAACTAAACAATCTCCAACCGATCTTAAGTCGGCCACGAACCTATAAACAATTTCTATACTGGGTAGATGAGATGAGAAATGTGAAAGCTTGCCCACTTGGCCTAAAAGAATATCACGGATTTAAATTTAAATATTTTTTAATAATATGTTTTCATAGATAACATCATAAGGGCATCTAAATCCAATAATGCCTACTAATATATCCACCAAAATGTAAATAAAACTTGACTACTACAATTACTCATCTTATCAATGAAGCACCATTAAATCAATTAAATAACTTACAATCTTTATGAACTTATAATGATATATCTGAAGTATGAATCCTTAATCACTCCTTTATTCTTGCGTGGTAAAAGAGAGGCACATATGCAGCACACCCCACACATGGGTTACAGCCCAATGGGAGCCTAAGTAATGAAAATAGTCTAGCAAAATCTCTCTCTTCTTATGTTGCATTGTTAAAGGAGGGCCTAGTGAAAACTTTAGGGCTTATTGATTTGGAAAAATTGCGTTTTATAATAATAATTATTATTTTAAGAAGTCTTTAAGGGAAAAAAAAAATTCATTATTGCAAATTTGTAACATCCCCCTTTCTGCATCCCTATCCATGGCTTATTGTTTTTCTATGAAAATCTAAAGGGGCATTGACATACATAGCACACAATTTTTATGTATTATATAAGTAGTGCTATGTATGTAAATATGAAAGTTTAGGTGTGAGATATGTAATAATTTAAATATATAAGAATTGTGTGCTACATATATAAATTTCCCAAAGATAAATAGTCATTGGACACTTCATGATATAAATCTTAGAGATAAACATGTCTCCACATGCTTCTGATAGGTTTCTTACATTCCTAATTTCTTTTTTTTTCTTTTCTTTTAACCTTTTACTTTTCCTCTGTGTTTCTAAACCATGCACCAGTACTTTAAATTTCTGTATGATTGAGTTTTCTGTTCAAGTTTGAGTCGAGAAGATTAATAAGTAATCTTGTTAAAGTGAATTTATGGTACTGAAGCTACTATATTTCTGCTCATCTCATTGTATGAAAATGACTGGTTCTGCTTCAGGCTGAATTTTTTGTGCCAAAAGCCTCCACAGTTCCGTTGGATTCACAGTCTTATTTGCTTTCAGATCCGAAGTCATGCTCAAAAATATTTCTTGAAGGTTCAAAAGAATGGGATAAGGGCACATGTACCCCCAGCCCGTCCAAAGAGAAATTCTACTCATCCATATCCAAAGAAACCTTCAGATGATGGTTTGTCCTTCCTTTATTTTGATTTGGTCTTTTTACAATATATTAAAGGGTCATTTACAAACATTCCACCCCATTGTCATATATTTTTATATCTGACACTTAAATTTAACTTTTTTTACATTTATACCATACAAATCTTGCACATCACACTAAAAATACCACCATTTTAACTTTTAAAAAGTGAAATACACCTTTCCATGCGCAGATAAGGTGGCATGTATGTAAAATTTGAAGTTTAGTGTTAAATATGTAAATACCGAGGAATTAAGTTGTATGTATGTAAATCTTTCTATATTAAAATGATAATATATGGAGACTGACTGACTAAAATTTTCTTTTTCAGATGCACCACCTCTGCATCTACAATCATCTATGATCTGCTCATCCCCATCTACTGGTCTAATTGCTCTATCTTCCAGTTGGGACGATCCATCTTTCCTTAGGGATTACACCTCCAATGATGCAATGTCCTCTTCAAATTACTACAAAACCCTCTGTGGAGTTGAATGTATGCTCTCTCTCTCACACATACACACTCACACATAAGAAAACTGACACATGTGGCACACAATTCTTATGTATTTACATATCTCACACCTTAACTTCCATGTTTACATGCATACCACTTTGTTTTTTTAAACCTATGGTTTAAACTTATGCATGAAAAGGTGTATTTCACTTTCAAAAAGTGATAATAGTGCTATTCTTTATGTGATGCTTAAGAATTGAGTGTTATGTGTGTAAATATGAAAGTTTAGGTGTGAGATATATAAATAAGGGAATTGTGTGCTATGTATATAAATGCCCTTATATATATATATATATATATTAGCCTTTGGGCTTTCTCAATATATATATATATATATTGAGAAAGCCTAAAGACTAATATATTAAAACGAAATAAGGATACATATAGATTGTGTGGAAGGGCCCAAGCATGACACATTTCCCCCACGATAACCATCACATACAAAAGGTTCCAAAAAATGTATGCATGCATGTATTTATATTAGCTCTATCATGATTGTTCATGACATTAATCTAAGAATGTTCCTTGGTGATATAGGTGATAATGATCCATTAGGCCTGACAAATATATATAACCACAATATTGGTTGGAATGGCAGTTCTAGTACACCACAGCTTACTTCTGAAGCACCAAAGCAAGGGAATCAACACTCGCCTACTCCTGGTTCTCGTTCATATATATATATAGATAGTTATTTGAAGTACTGTTAGACTGTTCTTATTCTTATTGGTATTACAACAAGGTTCTGTTATTATCTGAACGCATCTTAATGGCAGACTATGTTCACCTTGTTATTGTTTAGGAAGATTTACATACGTACCATACCACTCAATTCCTTGGCTTACATATCTAACACCTAAACTTCAATCTTTACATACATGCCACCTTACCTATGCATTAAAAGGTTTACCACTTTTTAGAAGTTAAAATGATGGTATTTTTTATGTGATATGAATGATTTGGGGGTATAACTGTAAAAAGCAATGTTTAGGTGTTAGATATGCAAACACATAGGAATTGGGTGGCATGTATGTGAATGCCCCTATTGTTTATAACTAGAAGAAAATAACCTTTTGTTGTTTTCTTGCTTAAGATAAGAATATCATATATCCTTATGTTCTGTTTGCATTATGTTGACTCCGGACCATCACGGGATGATTATTCAATATCCAAAAACGATTCTACTTACTGAGATATCACTTTATACAAGTATATAATTTTTTACGAATTTTTAAAGATTATTATGTAACAATATGACCACTGTTATAAATTTTTCAAATAGAGTATTGCATGAAAGAAATTTATGATAATTAGTAGAAGTAATATGTTAGAAAAATATTACAACTTCAAAACTTAATCCATTATGCATGAATCTGTGCAACAATAAATTCAATAAATGACTATCTATTATAAATATGCCTAGAGGGGGGAAGTGGTGGGGAGAAAGTGTCGACCAAAAATGAGCTCAACAACACAATATCACATTCATCCTTTGGAATAGATGTGAGGGTTAACAATTGGAACTTACTTGGTGAAACATCTTATTTTATCATTATTATTATAATTATTATCATCGTGCTGGTATTTTAATAATATTATTAATGGAATGTTAATATGTTATGCTATAAAGATGAGAATTTAATTAAAATTTATCTTAACATTTAAACTTATTCATTTAACCTAAACAATGAGAATGAATGTTCAAAATTTCAAATTACAAAATTTAATTTGGGTGATTGGAAGTTGGACGAGCAACCTTAGTGATCTTATTAGCCTTAACGAGGTAGAAGAAGATGGTGCGTTTCTGTTGAGCAGGAAGGGGAAAGTAGACGGCTAAGGTTTCAAGAGGAGGAAGGGGAATTCAGTCAGAAAGGGTCAATGGTTGTGAGTGAAAGCACGACTGTTGTGGGTCGAAGAAGGAAGGAAGCGAGGAGCAGATGAGGCTGAGTGAATTCGAAGGCTCAGTTTCTGTTTATGTCCTTTTATTTAAATTTTTGAAGATTTACTAATACATGCCACACAATTCCTATGTATTTAATATCCAACTCTTAAACTACAGTTTTTACATACATGCCGCCTTCCCCATGCATGTAATGGTGTAATTACTTTTTAAATGTTAAAATGGCTTTATTTTTTATGTAATAGGAATGCATCAATTATGTATAGATTTAGTTATAAGCTTTTAGGAAGACTTAACTTAAATTTCTTTTCTTTTTCTTTTAATAAAACCATTGCAGAGTTTGGTAAGGTTTACGACTTCATTGGTACTTTGATTGACCCTGATATCAATTGTACGATGGGAATGTATTTAGAAAAGCTCAAGGAGATGGATCCAATCACTGCAAAAACTGTAAGCTGTGTTTATATGTTATAATTAATCTTTATCCTGCTATATTAGTTTGGGAAATTTACATACCTAGCACACAATTCTTATGTATTTACATATTTCAAACCCAAACTTCCATATTTACACACATAGCACTTTGGTACTTTAAACCTATGCATGAATAGGTTCATTTCACTTTTAAAAGTCGTAATAGTGCTGTTCTTTATGCGATATTAAAGATTTGAGTGCTATGTGTGTAAATGTGAAAGTATGGGTGCAAGTCATGTAAATACGTAAGAATTGTGTACTATGCATGCCCATGCCCCTATTAGTTTTCCTTGTAATGACACACTTGTTAGTCCTTTTGTAGTGATAACCCCGCTTATGAAGTAGACTTCCCTGATTTTATTATTTCAGAATGAATCCTTAAATGTATATCAAAAGAATTTTCATTTTGTTACCCTATAAAACCTTCACTTTATATATTGGGTGAATTTCTGATCTCCTGTCTTAACACTTTAAACAATAATATAAGGGGATGATACCGGAGTTAGTTCAGAAACCAGCTAAAACGCAAAGCAAATTTTCATTAATATAGAAATAGGGCTACAATACGATAGGATTGGAAAGAACAATACAACGACACTACGCTTCGGCTAAGAGTGGACGAGAGGACCCTGGGCGGTGGTGGAGTCGGCGAAGTAGTACGGGGACGGGGAAGGGTTGGTGGCAGTTTGGTAGGTTAGAAAAGGGGATTTGGAAGGGGAGACGGGGAAGGGTTGGAGGCAGCGTGAGGGTATGACCCAAGGTCATTCTGGTGTGTAGTGAAAGTAGCCTGAACCTTCCTGCCCGGTTGGGGAGCTGGTGGTATGGTGTCGACTGTGAGGCTCTGAAAATCTCTCTGCCGTAGTTTTTTCGTGTCTGAAGTGGGTATGTCAATCCTCTCATCCCGTGTCATCACCATAACTGACCCATAGACGCTGCTCTGTGATAAGGGTTCCTGTGATCTCAAGCTCCACTGAAGGAAGGAGGGCTGCTTGAAGTGGTCAGCGGGAAGCAAATTGGTGGTTGGAGGGCAGGACAACAAGGTACGACAGCTAGGGAAAGGAGAACAGGGTGCTAGGTGGATGGAGGCGTTGGAAGTGGGCAGTGGTGTAGGGAGGATGTGTTGGGGTTGATCGGTGGCTAGGGAGAACTGGATGTGAGGATTGAAGAAGGGGATTAAGGAAGATACAACACCACCTCGGAGTAGGATAGAGCCGGAGCACCACCACCTTCTCGGATATAGCCCTAGAACAGGGAGAACTGCTCCGCAAAAGAATCAGAAATCAACACACAAAAAAAACTAAACCATAACATTAGAAAAACAGTAATATAGGACTCCAAAATAGAATAGAACACAAAAGAAAAGCATGGGAAAGGGGCTGGTGGCTTGGCCGGCACCCAAAAGGCCGCCCAGTCTAATTGAGGCCTGGACTGGTGCCTATGCAAGCTGCTTCAACTGGCTGGCTCGTTCCTGCTCTCGTGTGGGAAAATTTGACAACCTGTGTTCGGGGAACCTGGAGATAAGATAGGAAATGATAATTTTTTATTAAGGACTTTTAAATATTTTAGGAAAATTTATATGCAGACCACACAATTCTTATTTATTTACGTATCTCACCCAAAGTTTGATATTTACATTTTTAACACCATAGTGTCATAAACCTATTCATGAAAAGGTTTATTTCACTTTTAAAAAGGCAGTGATGGTGGAAATTTTGATGTCATGCTCAAGATTTGAGTGATATACACCTAAATATGATTGTTTAGGTGTTAGATATTTAAATACATAAGAATTGTGTGGTATGCAGGTAAATGCCCCTACTTTTAAATATTTTATTTCCTTTCTTTCCTTTTAAATAGCCTAAAAAGTTGAATTAGGCCATCAGAATTCAAGAAACCAAAAGCTTAAGCTTTTCATGCTTCAAACGGCACTATGAAGTTTATGCATCGCATCAAGAAGCTGATACCTCACATAAAAAAAGCTTACGCTTCATAAGATGAACTAGGCTTCGATGTCCGAGCTTTAGAATTGGGTCCTCTTTGTTTTGAAGTGTGTTTTTTTTCTCTTTAAATTGCACTTTTTTAAACAGACCGCGGGACAAGTAATCCCTACATGTCATCATATTTAATGCAAGAATATTTTGAGAACTTCTTATTGATAGGCTCGTTAAGATTTCCTTGTGTTTATTTGCGTGAATCATTTATTTGGGTCTACAGTTGTCAAATCATGAAATATTGTTTATTTTATATCTTGCAGGTTTTAATATTGGTGAAAAACTTGATCATCAATTTGACTACTCCTTGTTTTGACCCATTGGTTAGTACTTTCTCTCTTAAACTTTTCCCGGATTAATAATGCCTTATTATTATTATTATTATTGTAATTTCTTTTGCATGTTTCTATTGATGTTAATTGTTAAATTAAACAACCATTCCTCGTTGTTATACCATGAAAGTTAACAATCTATGGTTAAGCAAAGAATATGGGTGCAGCTGATATGATACAGCAGATTATTATTCTATGACAGATTTTATATTTACATTTATATCACCCCATTTATATCACCCAAATCTTTCATATCTCATAAAAAATATCACTATTTTAACTTTTAAAGCGTGAAATACACATTTTCGTGCTTAGGTAAGGTGTCATATATGTAAAAACCGAAGTTTAGGTGTTTAGATATGTAAATACATAGTAATTAAGTGGGATGTATGTAAATCCTGTTTGTTTTTTTTCTTATCTAAAGCTGGAATTTGTGTGAACTATTGCATGAAGCAAAACCATTAAAAATGTAAAAATATGGAACTTGAAATCAAGTGGTTTCAAAGTTCAATTTGTTGAAACCATTTAAGCTCCTTATTTCTTATGGTTCTAAAATTATGTGAAACCAAGCAAGGATTGTTTAAAAAAATCCTCACTTATTAGGAGACAATGAACCAAATAATAATTTTGAAGAGTTGTTTTATTGCATTAATTAAAACTCTCTCTCTCTCTCTCTCTCTCTCTCTCTTCGGTTTTCTTATTTCTAAAGGGTAGAATTCAAGCAGAGAAGTTAATCAAACTCAAATTCAAAATGAGGCAGGAAGAATAGATGATGAACATCAAGGAGATCCACCATCAAATTTATTTATTTATTTAGTATTTAGAGCAATTATCTTCTAAATCGATTGGCATCAAAGTCAATTTCCAGTTTACTAAATGTGTAATTGTACCAAATTGTAGCCTTTTTCTTTTCCACTAATCTTTCTACACCAACCCTTTCATTAAATTCTAAAATTAAATTTTAAAAAATAAAAATCTCAACCCAAACTCTAACGCTAAGCTTTGGCTGCAAGAATTTTTTCATGTAAAGCATGTTTTGTGAAAGTCGCATTCATTATGCTTGAAAAAAAGAACATCAAGTTCACACATGGACTCAATTTGTAATGAAGGAATTGAATTTTAGGGCATATACAAACTTACCACACAGTTTTTATGTATTTACATATCTAACACCTAAAGTTTAATGTTTACATTAATAGCACCCAAATTTTTAACATCACATCAAAAATACCACATTCAGTAACTTCTTAAAAGTCAAATGTATTCTTTTATGCATATATGTTTATAACACCAAGGTGTATGAATGTAAACATCAAACCTTAGGTGTTACGTATGTAAATCCATAAGAATTGTGTGGTGTGTATATAAATTTCCTTAAATTTTATCTTGTCATTCACTAATCTTGTAAGCATTTGATTTCAAAGAAATATATGTTTATAGAGATGCTTCCTCATCAATATGCCCACATTGCAATTAGTCATATTGCAATGGGTCATCTTATAACAAGACTATATAAATCATTCCAATCACCATTTGTTCATAAGTATTGTAAAAAATAAGGAAATGGCAAAAGCTTGATTGATTTTTCACACATTCAAGGAGAATTTATACAGCAACCTAGAAGATATTAGGAATCCATACAATTTTATAAAGATTATTAATTAAAAAATTGCACAAGGAGCATCTTGTTGTTTCTCTTGCAATCCTTTCTATTTTTCGTTAATATTATTCATAAACTGACTTCTCTTTCAGTACATAAGAAGTGCAAATTGACACAGTCCATTTTCTTAATGAAGTTGCATAAATTGACTTATGAGGCTTATGGCAAATGCTATGTATGGACAATTACTGAACATTTACAGTTTAGTTTTGAACCAATCGTTGATATTGTCCTTAACAATGTCTTATTATGGTTTTTTATTGGAGTTTTCCTTCTTGAACATTCTTTGTATAGTGATAGCATAAATAGGAGAAATAATGTTCTATCCCATCTTATATGTCTTATATTGGTATGATAGGTAATTCGAAGGAGCACAGTCTAAATTAGAGCATAAATATGTGAATTTTATCAATTAACATGCATGTGCAAACATTTATATATAAATTATTTCATTTGTATGTTTCATATCATTCCATGTATTTTTATAGTGAACATTATATGGCATTGATCATTATTTTTTATAACATTTACAATAACAATTGGTTGAATGAATCTTAATAATGATTGATGCATATTATTTAGAAGAAATAATATTATTAGCCTAAATTAAAAGTATGATTTACCGCCTTAATTCTAGAAGAGTTTATTTTTCTCACGTTAATCGTTACGCTGACTATATTATTTTGACACTATAATCATACATAATTACATGTAAGGCATTTTTATTACATAGTTTTATAAATATATATTTTTTTTTGAGGAAAATTCAATTTTTCAAAAATTGGGATGTTCATGAAGAAGCAAATGTTATATAGGATAAAGTAACAAACACTATTAGACTGGTAGCAAAAGATGTACTTGGAGAATCAAAAGAAATTTTTTTTATAAATAAAAATACTTGGTGGTGGAATTATAATGTGCAAGAAAAGATAAAATATAAGAAGTTATACTATAAAAATTGGTTTAAATGTAAAAACTTAGAAAACTGAGAAAATATCAAATTGTCTGCAGAGAGTTTAATAGAATAATTTGTGACGCTAAAAACTCTATTTTTAATGATCTTTATAATATATTAGATACTAAGGAGCGTGAAAAATATATGTATAAACTAGCCAAACGAAGAGAAAAGAAAGGTAAAGATTTAACTCAAGTAAAGTATATTAAAGATGAAAATCAAAAGTGCTTTTCTTAGAAAAAGATATTCAACATAGGTGGGTGAGGTATTTTGATAAACTTTTTAATGAAGTTTTTGAAAATATTATCAATCTTAGTGATTTTAATATTGTTAATAATAATAATACGTTTCATTTTTATCGTCGCATTGATAAAAAAAAAGTTGATTAGCCTTTAAAGAAGGGTGGAAAGTCTGTAGGATCTGATGACATCCCAATTAAAGTGTGGAAATATTTAGGAAATTGAGGAGTTTCTTGGCTTACTAAACTTTTTATTATTATTTTAAAAACTAAATATTATTTTAAAAACTAAAAATATGCCTGAGGAGTAAAGGATGAGTATTTTTGTTCCCATTTTTTAAGAATAAAGGGGATGCATAGGAGTTTGCAAATTATAGAGGAATTAAGTTGATTTGTCTTACTTCAAAATTATGAGAGATGATAATTTAACATAGGTTAAGACATGATACAAAGATTTCTCATAATCCGTTTGCATTTATTATGGAAACTATACATTTATTGAGAGGTTTGATGGAGAAGTTCAGAGATAATAAGGAGAATCTACATTTGATTTGTATTGATTTAGAAAAAGATACGATAAGGTTCAAAGAGATATCTTTTGGAGAGTTCTTGAGAAGAAAGGTGTTGATATGGCTTATATTTAAGTCATTAAAGATATGTATACTAGAGTTGTTAATTGTGTTCGAGCTGAAGGAGGATTGACCAAATATTTTCCTATTTCTGTTGGATTACATCTGGGATCGGCTTTAAGCCCATTTTCGCTTTAGTTTTGAATGGTCTTACTGGACATTTACAGGAGGATATACCTTGGTGTATGCTTTTTGCTGATGATATCCTTCTCATGGATCAAATCAGAGAAAAAGCCCAGGAAAAAAACTTGAATTATGGAGGTCTGCATTGGACTCTAAAGGCCTTCATTTGAGTAGAACTAAAACTGAATACATGGAATGTAATTTTTGTTGTAGCTCTAGTGAGAGAAGTGTAATTTTGGGTGATCAAATTATTAAAAGTGTGAATGATTTAGATATCTTGGGTCTGTTGTTCAAAGCGATGGTGATATAGATGGGGATGTTAATAGTAGAATTCAAGTTAGTTGGTTGAAGTGGAGGAATGCTTCGGGCCTTTTTTGTGATAGAAAAGTACCGCTTAGACTGAAAAGAAAATTTTATAAGACAGTGGTAAGACCTACAATGCTCTATGGCGCTGAATGTTGACCTTTAAAAGAGAAGCATAATGCTAAGTTAAGTGTTGCCGAGATGAGAATGATTAGGTGGATGAGTGGCTTTACACTTAGAGACAAAATGCGAAATGATTATATCTGTGATAAGGTTGGTGTAGCTCCTATGGCGGACAAAATTAGAGAAAGTTGTCTTAGATGGTTTGGTCACATTAAACGTCGACCATCTGATGATCTGATTAGGAGAGTAGATGTTCTAGATTTGACTTATGTTAAGAAAGACAGAGGTGGACTTAGGAAGACTTGGGCTTATTGTATAAAAAATGATCTTAATTTATTAGAACTAAATGAAAATATGGCACTAAATGTGACGCAATGGAGAAAAAGGATTCATGTAGCAGACCCCACATAGTGGGATTTAAGACTTTTTTGTTGTTGTAGAGTTTGATCCCATTGCTAAGGTAATTTTTATTCTTATTATACCTTGAATACTCTTATAATTTATTTTTATTTTTCTTTACATAGTATGTTATTAAATTACTAAATTGGATATTATGCCATCAAAATCTTATATAATATTTTCTGTTATTAATGTATGCACGTCCGCACACACACAGAGATATATATGTAAATACATAGGAATTGTGGGATATGTATGAAAATTTTCCAACATCAAAATGGTCAAACATATCTTAAAAGATCCATACTCAAATTATTTTATTTTATTTTTTCGTTTAAACATGTAATCAATAAGATTGTGATAAATTTTGGGAAATTTACATACATTTGTTGACCTCATTTTTAGTGAGGTCTTAGTCTCCTACTCTTAGAACCTAGGATCTAGCTTTAGAAGTTCTTATTGACCATCCTAGCGGACTAGCAATGGAGCCCACCTCCCGTAGAACTTCAAGCCACTTCTTGACTCATTTTTGTGAAGAAGTCATATAAGTGGTTCCAAGCA